TGGTATATCTGTTGACGAGAGCACAATTGAGTATACGAAAAGACAAAATGGTTTGTTAGATACGTTAAAGGTCCTTGAAAAGAATCTATATGTGGATTGTGAGAAGTCGATAGAACATGCGACCGCAGAGGGGATCAAATGTCCTGCTGAGGATTGCAGCAATAACAAATTGGAATTTCAAAAACCAGTTGATATCAACTTTGAAAATTTATATGAGATTAGTATGTTTGATCATGAGGAGCATGATATTGCCGTCAACTCAGATATTCTTTTCTGTCAGAACATACACTATACAGACATCAACATCAACGGATGTGACTATCATAATGCTGGCGAGGCCTGTCAAACCCTTTTAAGCCTATTTATCAATATTACTGCTCGCACACTTAGAATCTGGAAAGTTCATTTTGATAGATTCCACACCATTGATCTATCTACGATAGAAGAAGATGAGGATCCACTTCCTGAAATCTTCCGGCGCCGTCTTGATCTTAAGACCTTGATACTAGACAATGTTGGTAATGACTTTATTTACTGGATCCTAAACAACTACACATTCGCCGATTCTATGGAAGTGTATATCCTGAACCAAGACTACAAGAACCTTAATATTGTCCGAATTATTTCCCACCCTACATGCCGGAAGATCTCTAAACTTGTGCTCAATGACTTTGTTGAATTAGATGAGGTGAGGTTGTATGAGGAGTATAAGAAAGAAGGTAGACTCACTGAACTCCCATTATTCAACTACATCGAAAGAATGAAAGCCGAAAACAAAACCATCACGGATCTTGGTCTTAACAAACTGGTGTTGCAACTGGAAGGTGTTGATTGCAATAAGTATGCTGAAATCTTAACTGAGTTTAAGAGTATTGGTATTCAATGCGAGGAGGTTCCTTTTGCGGTTATTGTTGATCGTCCAATAGCGAAGTACAACTCTTATATAAGGGCGAAGAGTCAATATGCTTTGAGGAAACCCGACACACGATTTTATAAGGAGCTGGAGCTCAAGAACATTAATCTACAAGACTTAGAAGCGGATCTTGCCAGTCGATGCACCACGCCTACATCACAACCAGATCCAAACCAAGAACAAAAGCCATCTATCCAGAAACTTTCCCTTGAGACATTATCGTTATTCTTCTGGGATACTAATCCAATAACTGAGAATAACCTAGTGAAGATTCTCGAGTGGATTGCTTGTCAATTTACAGGTTTTAAATGGTTGTTCTTACACAATCTTGAGGTTTCGGAGGGTGAGAGAAAGAAGATGTTAGCCCACAATTACCACGTCAATGGGTTAGATGCCTTCAGATGCGATTCCATATCATCAGAGCCCGCACGAATTAGGTTGCTTGCCGGCACTACCCAGAATATCAGACTAGCAGAGTTTAATATCTCTCGTCCTGATATTGTTGTCGTGGATTATACAATGATACCCCACATTCTTAAACTGGACCTTACTGGGATGGATTCTGAGGCACATTTGTACAAACTCGCAACGGCTATAAAGAAGTCTACCTCCATTATATGTTCAATGTGTTCCTTAAGTCTTTATCGGCCAAATGAGGAGAACCAATTTGGTGATGTGATGCATGCTGATATAGATAATGGCATGAGTGGTGAGGTGCGTGAAGAAGAACGCGAGGGGGATGGTGTGTATCAAGCAATAACAAAGAAGATAAAACCAGATACTGTGAACAGGCTTTCAAGCTTTAATCCAGAGTTGCACTTTAAAACAGTCTGCTATTTCGCTTGCGAACATCTATCCTGTCTTAAATGTGTATCGAAGATGAAGAAGCCCCACTGGCATTTACTAAAGTGTCCAACTTGTAAGAAACATGCCGAATACGATCAAGCTTGCCAGCTTATATACGCGCCTCTGCCCAACCTTGTTCTTGTCCAAAGCAATATTCCAACGTCTATCTCAGAGTCCCAACAATCTAAGATCACAACATGGTGTACAACCCCTACATTCTTCTATGCCTCTTATGGAAACGCATATTGGACTCTTCCTGAGCACAAGAAAGAAGCAACTTATGACACATCCAACCCACTCCATGTCATGTTCATTTAAGTTGAATAAATCAGCGAGTTAACATTTATGCTTTATTAGTGTGGAAGACCGATGCGGGGTGCCAAAAACGAGCCAGTAAACCCAATTCAATACTAACACAAATACTAACACAATTGGTGGCTAAATATCCATTTATTTCGAACGAATTAGTACTAATATCACATTATATCATATCACAACACAACATATCATCTTTCTAATTCAATCTAACTCAATCTAACCACAGGCTTAACTCGCTTCAATCTAGTATCTAGATCTAGGAGCCCGGCAGTCTTTGGAAATATGTCCAATTTCTCGGCAGGTATAACATCTGGGCTTCCAGTCTCGCTCCTCTCGGTCGTTTCCTTTCTCTTGGGCACGTTCTAGAAGTTCCTTCTTCACACTTTCCCAAGACTCTTTCTCGCCTTTCTCACGAATAGCTCTTAAAGCATCGCGTAACTCAATCATGTGCCACTCTTTTTCCATTATGGCATAGAGTATGTTTAGGCGTTCTGCATCGTTATCTATCTTTTTCAATTCGAAAACTGCTTCTAAATGGTCGGCTAAGTACTGAATGGATTTAGACATAGTAGTATAAAGCTGGGGTAAAAAAAGAGCAAAAATAGGATAGATTGGGTTG